GAGAGAGAGAGAGAGAATGTATAAAACTTTATTATAAGGAATTGGTTCACACAATAATGGAGACTGAGATCTGCATGGAGAGGCAGACCCAGGAGAGCCAATGGTGCTGTTCTAGTCCGAAGGCTGGCAGGCCCAAGGCCCCAGAAGAGCTGATGTTTCAGTTCAAGCCCAAAGTCAGGAATAAGCCGTTGTCCTAGTCTGAAGGCCACAAGACAAGAGGAAGTCTCTCTTACTCAAGTGAGCTACAGCCTTTTGGTTTTATGGGCCTTCAACCGATTGGACGAGGCCCACCCACACGCAGGAGAGCAATCTGCTTTACTCAGTCTACCTATTTAAGTGGCAGTCTCATCCAAAAATACCCTCACAGACACACCCAGAATAATATTTGACCAAATGTTTGCTTACTCCAGTCAAGTTGACATATAAAAGAAATCATAACAGGCCACTTCTCAGGCGGAGGCCAGCTCCCCCATCTTCTCCATTCGGTTCCCTAAATATTTACAAAAATTAACCATGTGCTAGGCACTGGGCTAGACCCTGGGAAGAGACAGCAAAGTAAGATGTTGTCCCTGCCTTCAAGGTGGATAAAACCATAAATAGATGATGCAGCATGACTGGTACCTGTTAGCAGAAGGCACAGGACTGGATGGGAACACCAGGGCAGGTATTTAATCCAGGTTCCCTTTCTGCTTCTCAAAGGCCTTTTGCCGTGTTATGGCAGGCAACTCACTTGTTGCCCTATTAACCTGATATTCAGGAAGACTGTCAACACTTCTTTAGAGGACTGTTCAATACTGGGAAGGGCAGACAAGGAGGGCCGCTAGCAGCAAGCCACTCTAAATCTCTGAGATTCTTGGGGATTATCCTCCCCAAAGGGTAGCTATCATCTCCATCCATCCTTCAGCCTGTGAAAGCCTTTGAAAAATAACGCCCGGGGCTGTAATACCACTCGTTTCCCCTTGGTTCACTAAAGGGAATAATCAAATGTAAACACATTGCACAGGTTCCAAATTCTCCCGAAGTCCTTACGACGGCTGGGTCATTCCTGACTCCCTGGAAACCTTATGGGAGTTCTTCTGTCCGCCTTTATTCCAAAGGCCAAGCTGTCACCCCCAACCCCAGACATGCAGACCCCAGAAATGCCCCTCTTTGGAGCAAGAACACTTGAAGAAAGCAATAGGGACAAAACTACAGTGCTTCCTCCCTGAAGTGTTAATTTTACATTTGAAAGAACTTACTGTTGGTGAGAACTATTTCTGGATTCTCTGACACCTCAAAGACTAGTCACTTGGTGCCTTTCCTCTCAGACACTTTCACTCTGCCCTCTGCCAAATAAAATCCACATTGTATCAAGTCTTTTCAACCTACTGTTCACCCAAACATGTAATCACTTTAATAAACTAATGCAGAAAGTTTGAGCTAAAAGTTGCCTCAGTGCTGGGAATCGGGCCTGCTAGTGTTATATCAACTGCTTGTAATGAAACTACAGAAATGTGAAACTCCTTAATGCCTAGAAATCTCTTTGATATTTTTAAATTTTCTTAAATTGATATATTTTAAAAATCAAATTAGAAAAAAATAAGTGTTATTTTCTATTTAACAATTAAGAGCTCATGCACAAAGCCCATAAAACAAAGTTGGGGACCCCCAGGAGGAAAAACCACAGCTGAATTAGGATAAAATAGAGAAACTGAGTTACTACTCCACACATTAGGGTTTATTTTTAAAACTGTAGATATTTGTCCAGAAGAGCACACAAACCTCACAGCAGCTTTAGGACTGGAAAGTAATGGCTTCTGCTGAGATAATTGTTTTCAAGAGCCTTCCATAGGTGCTTATGTAAGAGGGCTTGTCGGCTAAATCCAGGACTGGATATAGACACACACACACACACACACACACACACACACACACANCACACATAAAGATACATCTATCTATCTATCTATCTATCTATCTATCTATCTATCTATCTATCATCTATCATCTATCTATCTATCATCATTATCTATCTATCTCCCTGTATCTATCTATCTATCTATCTATCTATCTATCTATCTATCATCATTATGATCTATCTCCCTCCCTATATCTATCTATCTATCTATCTATCTATCTATCTATCTATCTATCTATCTATCATTATTATCTATCTCCCTCCCTATATCTATCTATCTATCTATCTATCTATCATTATTATCTATCTCCCTCCCTCTATCTATCTATCTATCTATCTATCTATCTATCTATCTATCTATCTATCATCTAGTATCATCTGGCCGCCCGATCAATAGTGACTCCTGGGTTTTTTGCGCCTGCACTGTTTACACTGATACCATCCAACCATGGTGATGGGTCACAGCCAGAATCTTAGTTGCCCCTGCTCTGCCTGGCATTGTCACAACTATTCCTGGCCCCTAATCTAGGCAGCCAAGCGTTTTCTAGGAGAAGCACCAGCGAAGCCTAGGAATTCTCTGGCAAACGCAGTACCTGCCTCTGCTCCCACCTAGAAAACATGCCTGCCCTGTGGTGACAGGTCTCCCCTACATGTGGCGGAGAGAGTCAGGGCGAAGGCCACCCCCCAACAACTGTTTCTTACAAATGTGCTCTTGTTACTTCCTCTGAATTCCTCCCTGAAGACAAAATCAGGAATGGCATCTTAATCTGAAAATAGTCTTTACAAATCCTGATAATTAGATGTCTAATATATATGTGAGAACGTGCTGGTTTTAGGTTCAATCAAAATTAAAAATTACTATGCCAAATCACTTCCCTACCCACAAGGAACACTTTATATGTAATGAGAATAGCTGCCACAGAGGGAGCGAAGAAACCAAGCCCCAGTGTGTGCAAGCTCCTCTGCAGTAACCAGGGGGTCTAGGGTCCATGCCAAAGCCTGAGCTTTAATGCAGAAGCTCTCATGTGAGCTTCACAACAGGGTGACTGGGTGCCTCCCTTACCTGTGAGAACCACAGTATGATTCTGGGCTGTTTGGGGTCTCTTAATTGTGGACCAGACAGTTTGAGTTTAATTTTCATTTTGTGTCTGCAACCACGTCTACCTGCACGACTATAGGTGTCACCACAGATGGGTTGAGAAGTTCTCATGTCTCTATATAAATAATCAGCACTATTATTTATTTTGAAAGACAGTGTCCCACGCATAGAGGTTTTGAATTATTTTGTTAAAACTCGAAGTAGATCCCACTCCCCCCCACCCCCCAAGCCTGAATATAAAAATACCTGGTGGGCTGATAAGGCACGGCCACAGTGGGGAAGACGCAGAAATGACGACCGACTCTGGAACAGACACAAAGCACCCGGCTCAGGTGGGGCCTCCTGCTGACCAGGGAGAAGCAGCTGGCTGCAGGCGGGGGCCTGATACAAAACCTGCAGGCGGCCAGAAGGAATGGCTGCAGATACAAAATAAAATTTTGTTTTTGCCTGAGTGAGCCAAAAGGAGTCTTGGTTACAAATAGATGCTTTCCTTCCAGTCTCACCCTTGGACATCAAGGGGTTACCAGGGCTCGTTTTATCTTTGACTAGGAAGGGCAGCAGTAATTGGCCATTAATCCTCCTTAGTTCTCAGCACAAACGTGGGACCATTGTGCATTGCTGGGGTGAACTGCAGCAGGTGCGACTTTTTTTTTAAAGTGCTAATTTATAAGGGAGCCACAAGAACAATTAACACAATAAAACAAAGAAAGACTAAGCCATGTTTACACGTGGAAACAGGTCTAGAAAGGGCATGCGAATGGTTTCTGACACATTTTCATTAGGTGAAAAAAGGGGTGAATTTTACAAAGTGCTGTGAGCTGTTTTCCCTGGCATCTTCAAAGTAAGATAACCTGTTTGCCCTGGACTGACAGGAGACAGCAGAGCGGAGGCAGAGGCCTGGACTCAAGGTTGTGTGGGATTCCTTCAGGCCGTGAGGAGCTACTGAAGAGCAGAATCACTCCCCTGGCTCCCAGGGGAAAAGGAAGCCGCCCTGAACAGAGCTTCTCAAGTATCTTGCAGTTCAAAGGAAGTGAAAGGTTTTTTTGTTTGTTTTGTTATTTTGTTTTGTTTTAACATAAGATGTAATTTAAGGGAGGCACCAACTTCCGTCCAGTGCTGCATCGTGGAATCCATGGCCGAAGGCAGAGCTAGCGAAAGGCTCCTGTGGGCACAGACTGGGCACTGAGGTAAGACACCCCGAGGCCTGCATCCAAATAATCAAATCTACATTCAATCCTCAGGAAAGAAACATTTTGGAAGACAATCCTCAGGACAAAAAGTCAAGTCTCAGCGAAAAAAATGATCCAAATTTTGAGGTGCTGGTTCAGCTGGTAAGCCACACATTATGTAATAAAATTTTCCATTTGTTTTTCTCCTGACCAAAACCAAACAACAACAACAAAAGACCCCACTTCGGCCTTCATTTTGGTTAGGTCTTCTTTTTTCTTGAAAGTTTCCCTTCGGGGAAAAAAAAAACTCCCAAATGTAATTGGGGGGAATCCTGTCAGTTGATTTTTCTCTTGAAAACGTCCTGGTCTGAAAAGAAGTTTAGCCAAGAGGATGGAGGTGTAACACCTTGGAAGCAAGAGCCATCTCTGCTGTTCCATGATTTTCTAATATGACACTAGGATGGCATTTAAAGAAATGGCTCATGCACATAAAAAGGTTCACAGTTCCTAACCGGCGCACCAACCTATGGTCTGACTTCAAACATTGAGTATAATCAATATCACATTTAGGGCTCCGTCTTTCTGTTCCGAAAGGGTAGTGCATGGAGGAGGCTGCAGTACAAGCAGAGGCGTGGTCCCGGCCGACCCTAATACACGGTACACGCACGCTGTTTGGCATTTCTTCAACTCATGTCCACATTTGTTATCATATTTCATTCTCAGAATCCTGTAGGGTAGGTGTTAGTAACCACATTTTGTAGATGAGGAAGTAAAGTTAGAACACTTAAATGACTTCTCTAAGGTCAGACAACTGTCAGAAAGAAACTTGACTCCTGTGGCCCTGACCTCAGCCCCAAGGCTGTTTTCTAGCCCTACAGACAAGACCCTGGGTGAATCCATCCACTGCAGACAGTGCAGACCGCTGTCCTTGGGCACCAGTGTCACTTGCCCATCCCCGGGAATAACCAAAGAGGAGGGTATTTACATAGTGCAGTGAATAAATATGACCGTATCTCATCTGACTGTGGGTAATAATACCTGACAACGGTTTTGAGACTACGAAAGCTTTGACCACTGAAACCTTAAGTCAAAATGATTATACATGTTGGATAACTCCGATATTTTTAAAAGTATGTAAATATACATAAAAATATATAATATGGGCCACAAACCAACTGCCAAGTGGGCCACAGATGTACTTTTTTTTAGCTCATTATGAATATCTAAAAAGGCATTTTATACAGACCGTGTATTTGGGAGATAAAGCTTAATAAGAACAGTGTGTTTATAGTATTTCGAACACAGTGAGTTTTCTATTTTTTCTCTTAAATTACTATTACATTTTAATTTTAGTTCATGGACTTCTGGTTGACTTATTTTGGGTGAAGATCACATGACATTACACTTTACTGTTGTCATATTTTCTTTGGGGCAGTATGGGGCATACTTAGGACTGGGGGGGAAAGAAAATTGTGTTCTAAGAGTGATACTTCTAGGCTCAAGTACAATTTTAGAAATTTAAATGTTATAATTGTTTTCTATTGTAAAGATGCTCATTTTATAACTTTGGGAAGTACCGATAAAAGGAAAAGAATGATCAAGCCCCAGTAGTGAAAATTAATTTCTCCAAACATAAACATTGCCCACACAATAAGAGGGTGTGGAATTTCTATACACCAGTGTATGATTCTTCTCTCTGCATTAAAAAATAAAACAGGACTTTGAAGTATGGAAAACATAGCTACTCAGGAGCGATGGGTTCCCAGTTCCCAAGTTAGGTGCTTTTTCCTAAATACTGAAAGAAGAGCATGAGTTTCTATGTTTCATAATACGCCTGTGGGAAGCAAGTCAGCTGACAATGAGAGGGCTGGCTCACTCCAGCTCTTCTGTCCTCAGGATAATCAATAAAACAGTACCGGGGAAAAGAAATATTCGGTTATTGGAAAAGTCATGACGTATTTTTTCTGTGTTTCGTTGCAAAAATACATCATGACTTTTCCGACAACCCAATAGGAAAACAAACAAGAGTGGGCCGCCCCAAGGTTTCCTCACCACAGCGTCACCTCTGTGAAGGCAAAACTGACTCTGTCCTCTCATCCTTGTCCAGCCAGTGACTAGCACACGACACTGAACACGTATTCAGATGGGCAAATGGAGAAACGTAAATGTCACGAGTGCCTGGAAGGGCAGTCGCCACATTTCAGTCTCTTCCTGAAAGTCAAGGGGACATTAACCCCTCAGCAGGGCCCTACGTCCCTGCATGGTACTCGTGATGTGAGTGGGGAACAAAGTCCCGACACACAGGTTCAGATAGAGTGAGGAACACAGCTTTATTGGGGAACCAATGTCCCTCCAGAGGCCAATGCTCTCGTAAGCACAGAGGTAAATACAGCATAGAATAGAATTTAATAATGAACCAAGTCCCAGAGTCAATTGAGATGGAGAAGGTCCCTGGTCTGGGAGAGACGACTGGGCCTCGATGGGTCTGAGGCAGCTGGTCTTGCACGAAGAACTTCGGAGAGTCCCGGAGTATCACTACCTGCACCTCGCAGAGGGTCTTAGCTGGAGCGCCCAGTCAGACTGCTCATGGCATTGCTCTGGAATTCTATTTTTATCCCCTTTTCCTTGGACTTGTTTACTTCTCAGGTGATAACCAGAAGTCGTTTTGGTGAACGTGTTTATCACTCAATTTTGTTATGCTCAATTTCACACAAAAACATGTTTTTCACTTCACTCTTATCAGTCTCACACGTGTGACCTAGCTCACGTCCCTACTAGTAAACAACTTGTTTTGCAAACCTCAGTCCAATATATCTCATATATTTTATATGCTCTACACAGTAAATCTCAGTCTGCCCTGGTTAGGACCCAAGATTATAGTCCCATCTCTGCTCCAGCATCACACTGACCTGATACGCAGGGCTACTTGGTGATACAAGCGATGGTCAGCAGGGTCCTCCATAGTCCCCTGTCAAGGTTCCCTTCCACCCTGTATGTCACAAACCTGAAAGGGGGACCTCAGAGTGACTGCCTGACTGCTCGGTACATCCATTTCTGTCTCCTTTGACTTGCAGGCTTGTTGAGGCTGTCATCATGACTTTCATGATTTCCCTATGAGTTCTTAATGCTCCTCTACAGGAAAGAAAGCTCCAGATGGACTCGGCTGCAAAGCGAACTAGAGTTGTCGGGGAACTTTTACAGAGTGAGAGGAAATACGTGCAGATGCTGGAAGTTGTGAGAGATGTTTATGCAATGCCACTGAAAGCAGCACTGTCATCAAACAGAGCAATTCTGAGTGCTGCAAATATCCAGACCATTTTCTCGGATATCCTGCGGATTTTAGGTCTCAACAGGTAATCCCTGAGTAGGGATTTTCTGAAATCCTCATTATGCAGTGGGAGGAACCCACACTTAACCGTTTCAAAAGCTGTAGAGGCTCAGTCATTCTCTGCCCCTCTTGGGGACCCTGATCATCTCACAGAAGAGAGAGGCTTCTTGCCACTGGGCTGATTCTTAGGGCCTTATCCCTTCCTCAGTTCAAAGCCATGGTGCATGGACAGGAGTTCAGTGCCTGGGGATTCTGTATTCAATATACTGTTCATGCAAAAGACAAGACAGCAGTGTTTGTCATGGGAAAGGAACCAAAGCATTTAATGGGGTTAAGTCACTAAGATACTTTGCTTAGAGAACCCAAGGCCGGGGGTCAGCTTAGTAACAGCACGTTTAAAGTATGCAATCATACACAGGGGAAAGTGATCATTTGCACCGGTGGTAAAGTAAGACGAACTGAGCTTGTGCTTTTCTGCCAGAAACTCTAGATAACGTGGAACGACTTCCTTACCCTCAGTGGGCTCCACCCCCACACAATGAAGAGGTTGAACTAGGCCTGATAGTTCAAGGCCTAGGATGGCTGAATGAGGGATAACCTTTGATCCGAGGAGAAATGGGCCAGGGGAAGGTTATGACGTTTGAAGTGAGCTGAGCACTCTGCTCTGAGGACTGTAAGAAACCTATCCCTACCAGTACCTGCCTGGCCAGTTTGGGACTGGGACAGTGGGGGCAGCCTGTGGAGGCCAGCCTGGGGTTCTGGCTCAAAGGGCCAAGGTGAACCCACTTCCTCTCTTCCTAGCTCCTCCTTTTCTGTCAAATCTGTACCGCTATTCTCAAGACAAAAGTATTTGACAAAAGCCCTGCCATAACTGACTAGGCTGAACCAGGCTGTACTAATGACCACTATTTTTTAAGCTTACAAGTTGTCACTGGCCTATATTTCATGGTCATGCTTTTCTCCTATCACAGGCAGTTTCTAGATAACCTGAGAGACAGGCTGCAGGACTGGGGCCCAGCTCACTGTGTGGGAGAAATATTCATCAAGTTTGGAAGCCAGTTGAACATATATACCAATTTCTTCAACAATTACCCTGTTGTTCTGAAAACGATTGAGAAGGTAAATGATTCAGTTACCATCCAGACATTTATTAGACCTTCTGAGCTTGAAAGGAAGTTTTGTGTATAATCCAAAGGACCAGAATTAATAGGAACGACTTCACTACTTTTCGTTCCCAGATCTTCTCCTCTGGTTTACTGTGGACTCTTTGAGGACGGGGACCCTGACTTATTGAATTTTGTATCGCTAGCAGCTAGCACAGTGCTTGACACAGCAGGTTGAGGAACTGGTTGTTGGGCTGAAGTAACCCTCATGTAAACTGTCAGGCTTCCATCGGCCACAGGTACCCTGTGGCTCGGGTGCAGGAATATGTTTAATGGTTAGGTAGAACCTAACCGAATCCACTCTGCCGCTACAATCTTTCGTGACGGACAAGCTCAGTTCTCTGATAAAGAAAAGGAATTAATAATCCATATGTTTCTTGGAATAAGGATACTCAATCTGTGACATCTAACTTTGAATCAGGAATTTCTTTGTTTTACATTCCGTGAAGAGTTCAGGATAAACAGCTTTCCCTGTTGTGACTTATGCCACATGTAGGCTAAGCAGGAATACACGGTTCTCTCTGCATCACTTGCTGCTCTTGTTGGGATCTCTTCTGATGACAGTAAGATCCCTCTTTCTTCCCTTCTCAATTTGTATTAAAAGTGTAGCAGAAGAGGCTACCTTGGGACATGGTGGTGCACTTCTGCCATTGTCCACTGTGTCCCCTTTGGTCGTGTCCCCTGTCTGCACTGAGGCCCTCAAGGAAAGGCCTGCAGATTGGGAGGCCTCTGGACAACTCCTGACGTCTCCCTTCATAGAACTCCTCTCACCCCACCTAGAGAGTTGACCACTGCTGGACAACTCACTTATGTGACAATTGCATGAATAAGGCAATTTCATAGAACTTACCTTGAGGACAAGAATTGGAGCAAAGTGTCACATATTATCAGGAACCAATGCGTGCCAAAATTTTTATAGTTATGGATAATAATAATACCTGTTTCACTAGCATAGCATGTGCATATAAGTAAGTACTCAATAATTGTTAGCTATGAATATTTTTGAAATCAGTGACTATTTCATTTCTAGAAATTAGCATCAGTGGCATCTTTTAGGCATGTACCTACTGAGAAAATGAGGTAAGTTCCTGGGTATTCTAATGGTGATGAATGAATACATTTTAAAACAGATGCTCAATATAGTGGCACATCTTTATAATGTTACACATAATTAACAGCGGTCTTATAGGTGAATACCATGAATAGTCTCTTACTGTAAGGAAATCACGTTTACTGCGTGACAGGCATTTATGACAGGATTGTTATTTCTTTCACCACAAGAGTTAGGTACGATATCCGTGAGAAAACTGAGGCTCCAAGAAGTAACTTGACAAGATCACATAGAATTAGGTAGAATTAGAATTGTAATTCTAATCCAAGCCAACCCGGTTGCCAAACCCATTTTCATTTGTGTATGCTGATTACGTTCAATGACTAGGGTTAGGTCTAGGGTATAACTAATAGACTATACTTCATATATTAATGAACACCAATAGTACAATAATACTTTGATTAGCTGTAGGTGTTGCCCTCTTGCTTTGAGTGCTTCATAGATCATGTTTGCCTGGTGGAACAGAACACTTTACAACTGTCTTATACAGCAAAGTTTTGACAATATAATGCTCACCTTCAGTGCAAAGAAATGATACCAGCATTTCGCGCTTTCCTGAAGAGGCATGATAAGACCACTCTTACTAAAATGCTGAGGTAAGTTCTGAGGGAGAGCATAGCTGGGGCACCCCAAGGACAGGGCACCCTTTGACCTTCAGGAAGAGACTGGGGTTCCCTTCTCTGTACCTCGCACAGCCTGCAGGAGCTGCTCTTGTACCCATCCCGAAGATTTGAAGAATACGTTAATCTTCTCTATGCTCTGAGGCTTCATACTCCTGCAGAACATGTTGACCGTGCGGACTTGACCACTGCAATTGACCAAATCAAAAAATATAAAGGTTTTATAGATCAGGTAGGTTGCTGATAAGAATCTGTGTCCTTTAAAAATGTTACAGTGCTTTTATGGTACTCTAACCCAAAGATCCTCTTGTGGTGTTTTTCAAAGTCTTTCATCCCTTTAATGTGAAATTGTTGTGTTTGAAGACTTTGAGCACGAACAGCATCTATTCCAAGCCACACAAGATGAGATGAGACCAGAATGTTTTCAGATAACCATACAAGTACAATAAAACATTTATTCATATGAAAGTTTGAAGAACAGAGTATTTGGATTGATTTTTCTAGATAACTAAAACAAAAAAAGTAAAATCCTTTGTTTCTGAAAGTACTTCTTAATATATTAGATTCCCTGCCTGAGTAAGTACTGAGGTCATAATTGCTCTCTGAAAGAACTCAGCATCTTGGACCACAGGACTATCATTCTGAAAATATAGTTGTGATGTGCATACTGCACGTGTGTCCAGGCTGAATGTAAACTGATAACACATTATGCCCAAAAGATGCGTTTTGAATACAGTCTTCTCACTTGCCTTTGTTTTAAAACATTGGGTACATGAAATTGAGATTGTTATTATAGTTTATGAAAATACCATGCCCTATTTCAAATGCCATAAAGTATGTTAAATGTATTTTTATATATAACAATTTCACAATTTTATTTTGCCTATAATCATTTTTTCTAGATGAAGCAAAACATTGGTATGAAAGATCAGCTGTTGGATATACAGAGAATCATCTGGGGGTGCCCTGTACGTATTCTGATGTACTTGCTACAGATCATGCTCATGAATAAAACCTCATATCATTGGCAAAAGGAGACATACAGATTCCGAATCAGCTAACATCTGTGGAGTGCCTGGTGCTGCCAAGTTCTCACATTTCACATCCTTCTTATCTGCAAGGATGCTAGATGAGAAGAGGCGCAGTGGGCTTGACCCCAGCCTGTAACCTTTCTGTAGTCTTAGTTCCTTGCTCGGTACTAATGTGATCATGATGTGCATTGAGGAAAGGGGCCATGTCTTCTGTTGTTTTCTATCTCCCCATGCATAGTCCCAGGTGTAGGATTTTGCACACTGAGGACACCTGAAAAAACCTTTAGATGTCCACTGTTGGCTACCTGTTACTACAGAATATCATCCCACTCTACATTCTTACTGCCTCACCTACCACCTTATGATCAAACCATACAGATCTACTCCCAATTCTCCAGTTACGGTAGCCTCTCTTTACACATTTGTGCTTTGCCCGTTCTCTTCCTTGTCAAAAATTACCTTCCTTTACTACTCTGCTGGATCAACTCCTATTCACCCTTTAAAAACCCAGCTCAATCAACATCTTCTTTGTAGATTCCCCCAACATCTCCAGTCGTGAATCGCCCCTTCCAGGGTATTCTGCAGCAACCTGAACATCTGTCGCATTTTATTGCAATCCGTTATTCACAAGACTGAGAACTCTATCAGGAGTGAGCTGTGATTTATTTGTCTTCTAGTGTTTGGCATATAATAGGAGATCAATATATGAATTATATTGAATGAAAGTATCGGTTGATCGGAGCTATTATTTTTATTTGGTTAAAATGGGGAAGCAAGATGGCGTTGTTTTGTCATAATTTAGATCTGCACATTTTGGTAGGGAAAGAGAAGTGGGGTTGACTGGATTACAAAAGTCCAAAATCTCGGAACTCACTGAGTCCACTGAACTTAAGCTCTGGATCTCTGCTCACACCAAGTGCTCATCTCCATGGTTACATCAGCACAAGGGCCTGACTTCTTCATTTGTAACAACTCATTCACTTCCTTTTCTTGATAGTTTGCTTCTTACTCATCCCACCCCCACTTCATGTTTGATACTAGGAAAGTGTTTATAAATAAAACTATTTCAGTAGTATAAAAGATGAGACAACACCCTAAAATGTAATTTTCATTGTCAATGCTGTGGTCTTTCCAAAGAAAGCCTATTTTATAAACATTAAAAACATTCGTTTTTTCATAATTGAACTGAGTTTTACTCAACACATATATTCTGGGATACAGAGTGGTTCTGTAGTAGTGGGACTTTTTATTTTCTAAAAATTTATGTACGTTTCTCATTTTGTTTTTGATTGTATAGGCTCTATCAGAAGCAAACAGATATCTGATTACAGTCCAAGATGTAGCCCAACTTCACTGCTGTGATGAGGAACTAAGCTTCTCTTTAAGGTAAACATTTAACTTGCCTACGGCTGTGATTGTGTCTCACTCATCTTGTACCCAGCATCCAGGACAGTGCCTGACGTCTTGTAAGTTTATGATAAACCTGTGTGTTGAACTGACAAGTTACACACACCCTGCTCTACGATAAGGTAAGATGCTTTATCACCTTACTTTCATTCCAGGCAGGTACTGGGTAGAATGGGAAAAAATACATTTTCTCTACCAGGACCACAAACTCCACAGAAGCGGAAATCTAAAGGTTGGTCACTTTCCTACTGAGGGGAGATCCAAGTGTTGTGGGACAGCACACCAATGTTTTGCTCCACTATAAGAAAGAGACAAGACCAGTTTATTATCCTGAGGTAGTTATGGAGGTCAGTATTTAAAAGGCGTCATCATAAGACCACCATTTTATTTAGGTCTCACTATCTAGTTTGCACAGTGCACAGTAGGGCAAGAACAAAAGATGGGGGTGGGTGCCAATTTCCATAAACTAGCATCCACTTTCCTCCTTTAGCACAAGGATGAGCAAATGTGCTCTGTAAAGGGCCAGATAGTAAACATTCTAGGTCTTCCTGCTCAGATGATCTCTGTGGCATTTGCCATTGCAGCACAAAAGCAGCTGTATAACTGATATAATACACAACAAATAATACAATCTGTATAAACAATACAGGGCATCAATGAATGAGTGTAGCTGTGTTCCAATAAAACTTTATTTACAAAACACGTGGTGGAGCCAGTTTGCTGGTCTCTGCTTTAGAAAATTGTTTACCAAAGTGTGTTCTCAGTATTAATGACAAAGATGATGGCTCAACAAATGGCAACCAAATAGAGAGGAAATACTCTTTTAGTTTGTCTAACTCCAATAAAAGAAATAAAAGTTGGTCTGTTATTTCAATGAATATTTCAGTGAATATTTCCCGAATATTCATGGTAAGGGTTGGGGAAGTTGGAAGAATTCAGTCCCCTCACCTCTATCCCCACCTAGATTTAATCTTACATGAAAACCAAATCACATGACTGTGTCACTTTTCTCATTGTCACAGTGTTTTGTCTTGTTGTTTTTGGTTAGCAGCAATAAAAAAAAAGAGCTATAATGATGGAAGGAAGCTCGCTACCAAACCAGCAATTCTAAACATACTGGTATAGTACGACACGTGCTAGAAATTGCTAGTTTTTGATTATTAGAATCTATTTCACCTTCAGTTGTTGATTAGAATTTTTCACCTTTGTGTATGCATTCTTAAACACTTTCTTTCTTTATGTAAGTCTGAGTTTCTGACCTATATAATTTTCCTTCTCTCTGAAGAACTTCTAGTATTTCTTGTCAGGTAGGCCTACTGACAATGAATTCCTTCTATTTTTGTTTGTGTGAGAAAGTCTAGTTCTCCTTCACTTTTGAAGGATAATTTTGCCGGCAGCAGAATTCTAGGTTGGTGGGCTTTTTCTTTCAACACCTAATTCACTCCACTGTCTTCTTGCTTGCATGGTTTCTGAGGAGAAGCCCAGTGTAATTCTAATCCTTGTTCTTCTCTAGGTGCAGCATTTTATTATTCTCTGAGTTCTTTTAAGATTTTATCTTTGTTTTTGATTTTCTGGAGTTTGAGTATGATATGACTCGGTGTAAATTTTAAGGTATTTATCCTGCTTGGGGTTTTCTAAGCTTCCTGGACCTGTGGTTTTGGTGTTTGTCAGTAATTTTGGAAAATTCTCAGCCATTATTATTTCAACGATTTCTTCTGTTCCTCTTTGTTCGGTGAGTGAAAAGGGGGCTATAGCAAACCTGACAAGCTCAGTGACCAAAGGTCACACAGGGTGATCTGACCCTGAATTCCTAACGGCGCAGGTCATGGTGGGTAGTCAGCCCTGGGCCTATAGCTTCCTTAGTAAGTTGAATGTTTACCTTACATGAGCCCTACTATTGTTCTTGTGCGTCTAGGATATTATACACCTTTGAAAGCCAGAGTGATCTTTTACAGCCTCCTCAGAGGAGTAAGTCACATGCACCAAACTCCTCATTTTTATCTTGTTGCTTGTAAGCTATCTCTATTTACTGTTAATGTTAAATGTCCCAAGCCAGTTCTTAACCACCGCGCCGTTCGGCTGGCCCTAATGTTAAATGTCAACTATCCTCTACCTACCAGTGTAAAAGAAGTATGTAGTTCTCCTTTTGCTTTTCATCCAATCCTAGAGGTTTCCCACTTTGCTTTCTCCCGCCTCCTTCCTCTACCACCGATGGATTTCATGGAACCCTCCTTCCATTCTCCCCTTTGGTTCTGAATGCATAAAAAGAACTGCAAAACTGCCCTTCTCCAGAGCGTTTTCTTCATCCTTTGAGATCCTGCTTCCGGGCATGGCCTCAAAATTTGACGCAAATAGATTCTTGAAAGATTCTTCTATCGGTTTGGACATTCTTTTATCAACAGTTATCCATCTGATATTCCTGTTAGACATAGGTGGCACCTTTTGTAATTGTCCCACATTGATTGCATATTTTGTTCTTTCCTTTTCAGTCTTTTTCTCTTTGCTTTTCAGTTTGGTAAGTTTCTATTGACATATCTTCAGGTTCACTGATTCTTTCCTTGATTATGTCCAGTCTGCTGATAAGACGATCCAAAAGGTATTATTCATCTGTTTCAGTGTTTCTGATTTCTAGAAGTTCCTTTTATTCTTAGTTTCTATCTCTATGTTTCTATTACCCATCTGTTTTGCACGCTGTCCACTTTTTCCATTAGAGTCTTTATTTAACACTTATTTTAAATTCCTGGTCATATAGTTCCAAACTCTCCACCATATCTGCGTCTGGCTTTGAGGCTTGCCCTGTCTTATCTGTTTCTTGACCCTTAGCATGTCCTGTAATTCTTTGTTGAAAGCAGATATCATGTATTGGGTAGAAGGAACTGATGTAAATATGCCTTTAGTGTAAGGTTTTATGTTTACCTGACTAGATGTCAGCCTGTGTTTACTATTTGTTGTAGCTGTGGTTTCAGAGGCTTCAGTTTTCTCTGGTGTCCTTGTTTTTGTCTCCTGTTGTCACTGGGCTTTCTAGAGATCCCTTAAATAGGGTCTGAGGCTTGCCATTCTTTTCAGTTGTAATCCCATGTTATTATAAGGAATCCTGTGGATGTGGTAGTAAGAAATGAGAGGAAGGGTAAGAATTTTATAGTTCTATGATTGTCTCAATTTTTTTAGTGAGCCTGTGCCAGTGGGTTATGTCCTTCACAAATGCTTTTTTTTTCTTTTTCTTACCTCTAAGATAAGACAGGAAGGCTAGTGGGAGCTGCAGTTGGGCATTTCCCTTCCCCCATGTTGTCTAGGTTCCTGTAAAATAGTTTCCTTTGAGGGCAGGCCTTTTTAGAGAATAGAACTCTGGACATATTTCAAAATGGTTACTTTTCCCCTCCCCATGGGGAAGAATGAAAGGATTTTTCTTAGATCTTCACAGTAAGAACCTGGGGTTAGGGGTGGGGGTGGAGGAGTGGCTCAAGTGAGAAGGGGATCCCCCTAAAGCTAAGCATCCAGGAGTTTGTAATTGCTTAATTAGTTCAGCCTCTGTCCACCTGTTGCTCCAGCTTTTAGGGTGGTGGTTTATGTTGTGGCCTCAATTCTCTGATGGATCTGAGGACTAATAAGAACTTTTATAACTTTTTATAACTTTTGCCCCCAGATTTGGATTTTTGCAGCTTGAGCTCTGAAGCTGCTTGCAGAGCATAACTTTGCTCTTTTGGGCTCTGGAACTGCCTGCAGAACAAGCAGGCGCCACCCCTTCACCCCATGCTGATTGTACTGTTTGATAAATTGTACTCTTTGCATCATTGTTAAATAATACTCCCTGTACTATAATTGTGTGATCAAAGACAGCCTTTTTGTTCTATAGGCCTGGGCTGACACTAGGACTTGATAAATGCTTAGTCATATATTACCCATTGTTCTTACCTTACAACCCCACTTGCTCGATCACTGAGTCAGCCAACCATTGAAAGTCCAGTTGCCCACACCAACCAGAAACAAATCATGTAAGTTTATGATCTTGTTTCCCCTAGCAACACATTTCTTTGATCAGCTCCTTGCAACTTTTGCCTTTATAAATCCTGCCCAATACCCTCCATTTTGGAACATATTCTCGGCTCATACTGATGACTACATTTCCTGGTTTGCAAATTGTTACCTCAATAAACTCTTTACATTTCTTCAAAAGAGTATCTCCAGATTTTTGTTTACAGATCTAAGGAAAGTTGTTGACTTTGAGTTTTTCAGCTTCTGTTTGTTGTGAGGAAGTTATGACTTCCAAGCTCTTTTCATGTCCAACTAGAAACTGTTGTAGAAGTCTCAATTAGAACTTAGACGTCTGTCTTCAGTGTTCCAACAACTGAGAGTACATTTAAAAATGTGAGGATAGAGCCAGCTGAGTGGCTCAGTTGGTTAAGAGTTGGCTTATGAGCACGAGCTCTGAGCAACAGTGTTGCTGGTTCGACTCCCACATGGGCCAGTGAGCTGCGCCCAAGCTGAGCTGCCAATAGGTGGCAGGATGGCTCAGCTGGTGAGAGCACGTGCTCCTAATTGCCTGTTTGATGGTGGGCTATGCCTACCCACAGCTGGGACTGAACTCTGCACCTTGAACTGAGCTGCGGCCTGGATGGCTCATTAGATAGAGCGTGCGCTCTTAACAAGATTGCTGGTTCCACTCCGGCATGAAAAAAAAAAGGAATGTGAGGATAATGGGAGAATACAAATTATTTTACACTCTAATTATAAGGCACATTTATATTTAAATAGGCGCTATATTAAACAGGCACAGTGACTTTCCAAGCAATAAATACAAATGTAATTTTATATTAATATTTGAAATTAAATGCAAAACAGGTATTACAAAAAATATCACAATATGTAGTTCACAACTTTGTTTTCTGTCATTTTAGAAAATCACATAAAACCCAAGAAATGCCATCCCCATGACTTCCATCAGGGATTTTTATTTGGAGGAAACTCTGCTTGTATTTATA